AAAAAAAAAAAAAAAAAAGGAAAGAAAAAAAAATAAAATAAAGCTTCTGGTTCCCAACTCGGAGCAGTCACTCTTTACAATTTATTTTGTCGTACATCATTTGATCACCATGAATTAGCAACAGCAAGAAAATGTACGAGAGAGAGAAGGGGAGAGAGAGAGAGAAAGAGAGAGAGAGAGAGCGCAGAGCTTTCTGCAAGAGAAGAAGAAGAAAAAATGTACGTGTGACAAATTATGCTACCAAGAAACAACACATCATTATCCTTGGGCCTGGGGCTCAGTGAGTCGTAACGAGAGTAATAGGAAATCCACGGTTGGGGAGAGAAACGGTCGTGCATGGCCAGTGGAGAGAGACCATACAGGGGGATGGATGCTGGAGAGACTCGCAAAATTATGGCTCAAGGCTATTGTAAAAATTGTCGAGCGTAAATGACTGCGATTTCAAACATCTTTGGAAGAAAGAAGGGGAAAAAGCGAGCCCCCCCCCCGCCTCCCTCCCTCTCTCCCTCTCTCTCTCTCTCTCTCTTCTCTCTCTCTATAAAGAACCGTCAAGTTTTAGTGCGCATTGCTAATTAGTCAATTTCTCTCTGCCTTCACAGGCTGGCGACTTTGCTGCTGAGCTGAAACTGCTAATTTCTGTGACCAGCTTTTTTCTTAGCTGTGATCTGGATGAATGAGTAGCTGTCTCACAGAGATGACAAAAATAAACTCTAATCCCCCCAAAAATTTCCACTACATCTTTCTCATGCATAGATTTATGATCTTCAAGCGCCCTGTGCCATATGCAAACTTTTTGTGTGTGTGTCTGGGTATATGCTGTTGTATTCAGGTTGCACTATATTTGTTTTCTGCCTTCCCCCCTCCACCTGGTTGTGAGGAAAATAACATCCGATCTCCATACTCGATATATATTGTCACTTTTTTTCTCCCCCCAACCCTTGGATTTATGTTGGTTTGACAGGGCACACCCTGCCTCTGTGTGTCATGGGGCTGGTTGTGGGGTGGAGGGGAGAGGGAGAAAGTCAGGCTAGTAAATGGTATTAGTGGTAAACCATTCCCTTTGCATTTGTTCCCCTGCACTGTTCAAGATTTATGATCTTGTTTGAAGGCATATTTTCTCTATCGTTTTGTCTGGTTAGACAACCGTCTCTGAACTTCACTGTCAGCTCTTCAACAGATAAGGGTTCAGAAGTCACATTTTTTTTATTGGAAGATTAGCATATTGTCAGATTTGTCTTTTGGTTTCGAGTCTTTGCCATGCAGAAGCCTGAATCAAAGAGTAGGGAAGCAGCTGCACTTTTACAAACGTAACCTTTCAACTTTCTGCCACATCTGATACCTTGGGAAGGTGCACTTCATTTTTTTTTACTCCTTCTGTTAGGCATTTTGGTTTTTTTCTTCCACCAAGGGGCATTTTGGTAGAGGACATGTTCTCCACACTTTATCTCATGATATATTGCACCCTCACATTTATAGCTTTGTTCTTCTGTTGTCAAATCTCCAATCGTCCAAACAAAAAAAAAGTATGCCCTTGAATGAAATGCACATGAAAGGAGACTGGAGAGCACTTACAGAAAGTTTTAGCTGGTGTGAAATCCATGAGCACTACACTTCCCAGCTAATAACAAGACTCTTGTCATTAAAATACACGCCAGGGGGGTGTTTCCTTGAAAGCCAGTGCTCATTGTCTTTCTCTTTAACTTGCAAAAGGATGCCAATGCATCTAAGGTTGGAAAGAAAACAAGCTGGAAGTCAGATTGTTCAGGAATTTGGAAGTCCCTGAAAACATGGAAATGAAAAGAGCCAGGACAGTTCTCACCTTCACTTGTTTTCTGGCAGCCTAAAAAATGTGTTGTACCATATCCTCCCATTTTTCCTTATCAGAAAGCTCCCTGCTTTCAGAAAGAATCTTCCTCTTCACATAGGCCTGCTGTTATCTCACTTATAACTGCAAGAGATTTAGAACAGATATACATAATGAAGCAGTTGATGCTACAGAGGATGGTGCTAGACCAAAGGAATAATATTATTGTACACATCTTCTAACACCATTTTCTTTGTTTCCCTCCTTCTGTGTCATTTCCCCATCCTGTGTCCCAGATTTGGATCCTTAGCTGGTTGAAAGAATCCTCATGAATCCTAAGATTCCCCCATTTCAGTAGTAGTTACAGCTATCAAGGATGTGAAGTGTCACTAAACTGTGGTAGATGGGAAGAGCAATTTTTATATCATCCTTGTGCTGTTGAACTTTACTGTATTACTGCTGTAATGGCTGTAAATAATCCCAGAGGGTTTTTGTATAGTTCTTCATTAAATGATGTGTCACTTACCCTTACACCACTATGGACTGCAAAAAATATGTCTTTGAAGGATTCAGCTGACCCAGCCAACGTTTTGCAGATTTTGGGGGCTAACAAAATTAAATGTTTTGCTCAGTAGTGGAAAATACCAGGGGTATTTTTTCAACTTTGCTACCCTAAACCAGTATCAAAACCAAGGCTCATATTATGTCCATAAACAATTGTTGGCCATTCATAAGCTATAATTGTTTAACCTTCAGCAATTATTTTTTTTCCTAGAGAAAGAACTGAATGACACCAAATTGGGCATTTTCTTCAGAACTCAGTGGGTTTAAAGGGATTTAAGGTCCTAAATTTTACTTGCTTTTGAAAAATTATCATTTATCTCTGGGTGGGGGGCAGGGGCAGGAGTTACTGTTCATCTCTTTGAGCCAGATTGCCTCTTCCCATGGAAAACCCTGTAGAAAGCTAGTAGGGGAAGAAAGTGTCATGTTATTTTTTCTTGTGAGGTTCCCCCATACCTTCAAGGAGCCAAACCCTCCATCTGTTCTATAGAAGGAAAAGGGAGGTGTTTCCTCCCCCTAACCCAACAGAGAGAAAAGGGAGCTTGCCCTCTGGGACTTTCAGATCACTTGAGACCATCACTGATTTCAGGCTATTTATTGAAGGTCACAGTCATCAGCACAGAGGCCTCAAGCATCAATGCTACTGAGCCCTCAGCTGGCCAGCTCCTGCCTTTGAAGAAAGTTCCACTGGCTGGAGGGCCCTAACTTCAGATTTCCCACTGGCTGCTGGGGAAGAATGATATATGTTGTAAATGCACCTTTTTCCTTTATTCCCCATGTATTGATTCCTGACCCCTATAGATGTCACCCCATAGGGTATTGTGGTGGGAAGGACAGTACTGAAAAAGACCTGAAGCTTCTGTATGGGAAGGGGGAGATCTTCATTCAAAGAGCACCAATATGAACATGTAAGGCCGTGTTTTTAAACTTCCAGTTAATGATAATTCCAATTACTAAGCAGAATGAATATTTTTAATACAAATTCTCTATTAAAGGATTATGATTTTTAAAATCCCCAGTAACATAGTTGTGTAAAATTAAACAACTCTCTATACACCTTAAGTTCTATGTTATTATATTTCCATATTTTTTGCCACAAAATACCTACACTGTGATAGACACCATCACACAGATCAGAAATCAGCAGGCTCATTTGCACAGGACCTTAATAAAGGCCGAAGGTAAATATCAATTTGAAATACCTCTCCGTCATAAAGGCTGGTGATAGGAACTGGATTTTAGCTTACTCCATTGTTCAATGTGCAGAAATTGCCTTTCTGTATTTGATCCATCCTGCTGAGCACTATCAGAGGTTTGCATCTCTGCCACTATTGCTTTTAAAATGGCAGCAGAGACGCGACTAGTTGTCAGTGCTCAGCAGGACTGTCCGCATGTAGATGCGATTTTGTGTTATAGTAAAGTAAAATTATTTTTCAGAACCTCAATAATCTTGAAAAAGTGTACAGAAGAGATAGATCATCACTTAATGGCAAAGACTATGTCACACAATGTGTTTGGACTGCACCTAGTACTTTGTGGATGCTGCTGTAATTAAAATAAACTAAGAAATGAACAAAAGCAATGTGCAATATAATCAGTAATATTGCCACACAGTCCATATGACCTTACACAATACATTTTGAGTTTTTTTTATATAACATACATAACTGTGAAAATATATCTGGTATTACACTTGTTACCATGACATATATTCCTCATACCTGTAAGAACAGTAAACCCTCTTAACCCATTTTTATGCCATGTATGGCAGGATAAAGAGTTGCTGTTGGGGTCAGAGCATGAGAGTGCAAGTCGAGACTTTAAGACTGTGTGATCAAAGACGAATCATTTAAAATACCTGTGGCTTAGTTTACACGTTTATATAAAATGGGTACAGTAATAATCTACAGCAATTTTATGAAGCTTAATTAATATTTGTAAAGTGTTTTGTGAGGAAAAGGGGATGAGTGTGTATACATCTGTATATACACAAATATTTACAGAAATATTTACACTAATCTACACATATTTAAGTAGCAAAATATTGTTATTATAAATGAATATATATTGAGGTGAGGTAATGATAACAGCCCTGTGCTGCAGAGAGTCATGATGTCACCTAATGCTATAAACTCAAAGCTCCTGCTGAAGTTTGAGGGAACTACTGTGTACACCAAAAGGATAGATTCTGATCTTCAAAGCATTGAATTGCACAGGGATAAACTCAAGATTTCTCCCCACTAGACAGAGGATTAAGTTATACAAAAAATAAAATAATTCAAAATATAATTATATTGGTGTACAACCAAAATGGCATAAAAAGTGTTTTATGCAAAACAAAAGAAAAGGTTATAGAAAACCAGCACCTTTCAAAAACCCAGTAAGCTGTATTGCATCTAAAAGCATTGTCATCATTTGTGGGACTGAATTTACAACTGCTAAAAGCAACAGCTAAATGTGTGGAAATTGCAATCAAAAGGTAGGGCAGGCTAACCCTCCAAGCATCTTTTCTGAATATGATTTAGTATTCATGAGCAGAGATGTAGTTAGACATGTGAGTCTGAAGCCCGGTAGAAGGTGCAAATCTACCCTGCCTTCTTTCTGAGAACTCATCACTTAAGAACATAAGAAGTGCTATTCTAAGTCAGACCAATCATCCATTTAGCCCAGTATCTTGTTTCCGATAGTGGCAGTAATGGATACTTTATGGATAGGTACATATGAGCTTTAGTGCTTGTTTCTGCACCTTGGGCCTAACTCAGGGACACACTGCTGTGCTTAAGTCCATTTTCATTAATCAAGCTATTTAAGCCCATGCCTAACTTTAAACCCACTGTTACGTGGTTTCCCATATAGGCATGCTTTTATGAAAAAAGGTCCGTATAAGCTTTCAACTTACAGTGAAAGCACTAGTGATCAGAGGTTAACTGGGCAGGTCTGTGCAGCTGGAAGTGGTGGTGCTGCATGGGGCAGCAGCTGCCGTGACTGCTGTTTTTGCACCACCCCCTCCCAAGTGGTTGCCCAGAAATGGTGTCCTAGTTGCCTCTCCTTAGTTATGCTACTGTTACTGATTTAAAAGTCCTGGCCTAGCACATAACTTTTTAATTAGACAAGGGAATTTCTGGTGCCATGTGGCAGATTCTTCTAAAGTCCTGGTCAAGGCCTATGGGGAGATATCCCCAGACTATTACAGTGCTCTTTTTCAATTCTTTTATATCCTGCTGTAACTTCAAGGTAGGATAATGCCTGTAATATATGGTGTGGAAGGTGCTTGTTAACCAAGGGTAGGCTCTAGACATAAGAAAATAGCTGAATTACAGTAGTCATAATTAGACTGAGCCTTTTTCCTGTAGTAGTATTTACCCTTTAAATTCAAAGTGGCTCTTACAACCCCACAGAAAGTACCAAATCTTATTTGTGAGAGAGGTTGCAGACCCACATCCATTCCCTACCTCTGAATCTTTGTTGAGGAGGCAATTTCATAGCCTGTTGCAGCTAGTCTTCAGATGCCAGGAATACCCCACAGATAACAGTAGCCCTTCCCATAGTACCTCTCTTGAACTGTCTCATGATTTGCCTTTTCCTCTGGGAAGGAGTTGGTCGGGTGCAGATTCACTGGTGAAGACATAATAATTTAAAATAAAATGTAGAGTTAACTTTGACCACAAAAATTTTACTCATTAACACAGTGGTGGGGGCATAAGTTAAACATAAGCATAAACAAGCAAGAGAATGCAAGTTATGGCTTACATTCTAACCTTATTTTGTCCATAACTGCAAAGTCTTGCATATAACATACTAACCTGACTGCTTTCTGCTGGGCTGTGGTTAAATAGTTCAACTTTTTCCTGTTGGCAGCGGAAGGAGCTCTTACTAGAGATTATGTATCATTACCTTCCCAGCAACCAGGGTTACCCAACTTTTTGAAGCACAGCTAAAACAGTATTTTCATTGCCAGAAAATGTGGATTTTTATGATAAGACAGCTAACTAGACCTGGAGAGATCAAGGCATTTCAATGTAGCTAGCTAAGGTCAAGACTATACTCCAGCTAACTACAGCTTCTGGCTAGTTGAGGTGAACTCCAGCTGGGGGGATATCATGTTGATCCTGATTATCTACATCAACATATGAATTAACTGAATAAGACTTCCAAGAGGCCTTTGATCTAGCATCCCACAATGTCCTCGCAAAGAACTTGGAGGATTGTGGGCTTAACTCTGAGTCAGGTGGGTGAGAAACTGGCTGCAGGATAGGAGCCAGAGAATCGTAGTGAATAGATCTGTGTCATCCTGGCAAGAAGTGGGCAGTCGTGTCCCACAGGGGTCGGTGCTCAGTCCAGTACTTTTCAACATCTTTATTAATGATTTGGATGTGGGGGTGAGGAACTCACTGGCCAAGTTTTCAGATGACACCAAGTTATGGGGAAGCGTGGCCATGCTTGAAGATAGGCTACAGATACAGGTAGACCTAGGCAGGCTGCAAGTTAGGTGGTTTGGAACCTGAAGAAGTTCAATGTTGAGAAATGTAAAGTGGCCCACCTCAAGATGAGCAACCCCCAACACACCTACAGGCTTGGCAGCACCAAACTGACTAGCACCACCAATGAAAGGGATGTGGGGGTAATAATACACCACAGTATGAATATGAGCCGACAGTGCGATGTTGTAGCCAGTAGGGCAAATAATACTCTGGCATGCATCAATCAATGTGTCTCCAGCAAAGCCAAAAAGGTGACTCTTCCACTCTACTCAGTGCTGGTGAGACCACAGCTGGAGTACTGCGTCCAGTTCTGGGCACCACGCTTTAACAAGGACGCGGACAAGCTTGAGAGAGTCCAAAGAAGAGTCACCCATATGATCAGTCTTAAAAGGCAAGCCATACGAGGAAAGGCTGAGGGATCTGGGAGTCTTCAGCCTGAAGAAAAGAAGGCTGAGAGGGGACCTTGTAGCGGCTTACCACTACACTAGGGGAGTACATCAAGGGCTGAGTGAGCAACTGTTCACCAGGGCACCCGAAGGGAAAACCAGGAGTAATGGCAACAAATTCCTGGAAGATGGATTCAGGCTCAACGTTAGGAAAAACTTCTTCACAGTCAGGGTGTCCAGACTGTGGAGTAAACTCCCTCCAGAAGTGGTGCAATCACCTACCCTGGAAATCTTCAAGAGGAAACTAGACAGTCACCTTGTTGGGGTCACCTGACCTCAGTTTTCTTTCCTGTTTGGTGCAGGGGGCTGGACCCAAATTGATCTTCCAAAGTCCCTTCCGGCCTTATAATCTATGAATCTATGAAACTGCTTTATCTCCACTAGTTTTTACAGCAAGCCAGCAAAGTGGTTAAGCTAAACTAAGTTAGGTGTCTCACTGTAGAAAGACACCTTTTGGCAATAAAGAGGTAGTGTTAGCTAGGGGTGTACCAGATGGTGAGAGAAAGTTAACAAGAGGAAAAGTAGGCTTTTGATTTGTTAGGTTGTTTGTGTAGCTCTTAAAAATGTAGAGAATGGCAACTACTAAGCAAAGTTAAAAATGCCATTGTTTCCTTTTCTTCCTGTTGGAGCATTTCACTTCAGTCGAAGTGCTCTGTCATATACACACATATATACACATACACATACACGTGTGTGTATATATATATACATACATGTGTGTATATACACACACATGTGTGCCACATACGTGTGTGTGTGGGGGGGGTAAAGAAATAAAATCACATGCGAGACTAGATGCCTCAAGCAACTGATGACAGATTAAAAAAAACATTTCTAGTCTAAGTTGCTGGTTCAAATCCAGCTTAAGTCACTAGAAACTAAAAATAATTACGGCAGGGTCATGTGTGCCAGTGTGGCATGTGCACCTCAGACTAGGCGTCAGGGGAGCCACAAGGGGCCCAATCCTTGTTGTAGCAGTGCAGCACCAGACCCTTCTCTGCTGTCAGTCCTGAGGCATGTGTGCACCCACCACTGGCAATGAGCTAGACCAGGGCTTCATGGTGCAGCTGCTTGCAGCCTCCCAACTGCCTAGTGCAAGCAGCCATGGTGGGTGGCAGGACCCTGCCCAGAGCCTGGGCTGGCTGTGGCAGGCAGCCAGGAGGCTGCAAGCAACCGCACCAGCATCTGCGGAGCCTCAACCTGGCTTGCTAGTGGCGGGTGCATGCACACCTTGGGGAAGATGGTGGGGAAGGGACTGGGGCTGTGTTGCCACAAGGTTGAGGCCCTTGTGGCTCCCCCGCTGTCTGCCCTGGCATGCTAACATCTTACAAGTTGAGGTTATGGGTGTTTTTGGCACTCTATCCAAAAATGTTGCTGACCCCTGAATTACAGTCTGATGGCTGGTGGGGGCCTGTGTGAGATGAATTGGTTATTTCAGTCCAGTTCCTGGTTCAAATAACAAAAGACATGATCACATTCGGCACTAACTGACATACTGTTGCAGTATAAATAGAGCTGCATAGTCGGGTCTAACATGAAGACTATACTGTCCTCTTCTGGCTTCAAACTGTCCACCATGGGCCTTATAAGTGGTTGCTCTCAGAACTGAATACAGGGTGAAGGAAACAGTATATTGGTCCTGTTTATGTTGTACCACACCAGGAATAATTATATCATGCAGAAATGATGAAACTAGCTAAAACTGAGGAAAAACACAAACAAAACCAGAAATTATATGTAATAAAATCTTACGTATTGTCAGGGCTCTATCGAACCGTACTAGACTGTCATCACACTTTGGATATGGCTGCCAGAACAACTCAGGTTAAGTGGGTGGTTTTCTCAGGGTGAATTTATACATTACATTTAGACCATAGTACGGGTATTTCAAACACAAATATCTGCACATGAAAGCTTGTTAACTCATGTTAAGTGCCCTCTGAATGTCTCAAAGTTACACTTCTTCAGGCAACGGTTAACACTTCTTCAGCCGAGGGTTAACTCTACCAAGCTCATATTAGGGTAACTTCAGTCTCTTCCGTAGAGATAAAATGAGCAGTTTGCAGTCCTTCAGCATCCCAAGATGCATAGCTCCCAGCACCATGCCCCGCACCTGCAACCCCAACCTGGAGCAGGGATAGAGCCTAGGTTTCCAGTTCCTAGACATGCCTCTGCTCGACAGCCTGTTTGTGGCAGGTCAGAGCTGTGTAAGAAAGAAAAGGTATTAACCCTTAATGTGTGACTGCTCACAACATGCTCTCACTTTAATATGACTTAACATTCCACAGTTTTAGTATGGTCTAAGTGTATCACGTAACTTTACCCTCACTCATGCTACTCTTGACCCACAAGACTTCCTTTGATGCCATGTGTTAATTTATGTCTAACAATAAGCAAAAACTCCAAACATCTCAAAGCTGAGAACTGACACTAGAAAAAATAGATTATAGTTTAACTCAACCATAAAAAGCTACCTGAGAGAGAAAAGGCTAAATTCACTGCTGTCATAATGGGGCATGATCCTAATGATTTCAGTGGAGCTCTACCTACTCACTCCAGTTATGAATCTGACCAATAGTCTTTTACTGGTGATAAAACAGACACAGGCAGAATGAAGAACACCCTTGTGCTGAGAAATTTCATTTTTTAAATTAGACATATTTTAGTTATAGGAGACTGCAAAAGTGGTTGAAATAATAAAACTTTTGGATTGCTGTAGTCCTTATCTTAAGAACAGCTGCAGTGATTTAAAATGAATATGATTAAAAGCAAAAGTATATATTGCACCTTGACTTTGGTTTCAGACCTGAATGGATTTTAACTGCTGAGCGACAAACCCTTGAAAATGGGATTAATAATGGAAATTTAGGCATGTTTTTAACCACTGTGATGCTGCTATAACCCTTACAGTTCTATACAGTCCTTGGTCCACTCACAAAACTCCCAATGATATACACCCAGCCTAAAAATACTGTGGTGATCCAAGTAATTTTGGAAGTTACAGTTCATCATATCATGAGATTTCATGCAATAGTTCCGTTGTCGAAAATAAATTTACCACATGGAATCTCACAACATATTGTGCAGTAACTCAGAAAATAACTTGGGTCACTATTACATCCACACATTTATTTATATATAGTATGTATGTATGCGTGTGTGTGTGCGCACGTGCATGTGTGTACATATGTATGCATTAACAGCATTTATAGATGCTGATCCATTAAGTCATTTTTTTCCTACAGTACCTTCAGACCTTTTGTATGATGCAGAAAAAAACATCATTAAAGCTATGGTTTGCCAGACAATTACTTTGTCAAATCTCAAGAAATTGCATAATAAATTGTATACATGCATCAAACATGAACAGCAGAGGGGTATAACAAGCTATGTATTTCCAGTCCACTTGTTCTTTCATCTAAACAGTAGCTTTTGTTTTGAAGAAGACTCCTATATTCTTTTCAGAGCCTTGCATAAAATGTGCATATACATTTATCTATCAAACTAAG